CTTTGTCCTGAGTGAGCAAGGGCACTTGGGGAAAAGCCAGCGTGCCTGACCAAAACATACCTTCTGAGCTTCTACAGCACCAGGCCCGACTATAGACAGAGAGGTGAGGTCTGCCCTAGGGGACGTGGACTCTGCCCTGCCCGGGGTCTCTGGCCTAGACCCAGCAGAGCCTCGGACTGTCACACACCTATAGACACTTATGGGGTTCCACCGCCCAGGCAGAAAGATGCCTTTCTTGGAAAAAAAAGTCTCTTGTGGGGTCAGGCAAAGGAGGAAAATGAGAGAATACAATAAACGGATTCCCAAACCTCAAGAAGAGATGTGTGCAGGATGCCTGTGTACCGTTTCTGAACGGGAGGCAGACTCAGGACACAGCCGGCGTAGGTAGAGAGACAGCGGACTGGGACATTCATTGGTAGCTCCTCCTCTAAGCCACTGGGTCTCAACTGGGGACATCTGGCAATATCTGGGGACATTCTGGATTGTCACAACTGGGGTTGGGGGGATGGATGGGGGGGCATCCAGTGGGTATAGGCTGGGGATTCCGCTCAACATCCCACAATGCACAGGAGGGCTCCCCTCAAAAAAGAATGACCCAGCCCAAATGTCAGTTCTGCCGAGGTGGAGAAACCCTGCTCCCAGCCAGTCTTCCAGCCATGTTCTGCGACATCTCCAAAGGCCCCTTTCGGGGTACAGAGGTAGCCCCATAACCTCTCCTACACCACTTTCCAAAAACCTCCCTCCCCAAGTCTCACCCAACAAGTCGGTTTGGAGGGACAGGGGAGAGAATAAAAGAGGGGCCATCCTGGAGACCTTGAACAAAGATGTTCTCGCCATCCATCGACAACTCCCGCGAGGGAGAAATCCCAGACGTGGGCAATCTTTGGTCAAACAGGAAAACGTAAGGCTGAACTCAAGGGGCAACCCCTCGACCCCACCTGCCTGGAGGCCCAAGTCGGGGTGGTTTCTCTTTGCACAGAAGTCCATGCTCATCAACAGACACAGGACCTTGCTCCCGGGGCGGCCGGGAGGAAAACGGGGCAGGACAGGCAGGGGGCGGCTCCGCTGACGCTGCCAGGGTGAGGCGGCCCTCACTTGTTCTCTATCAGAGTCTGCACCTTGTACACGAGGTCCCGGGCCAGCTTCAGGACCTGCTTGGTGTTGTGTCGCTCGGCCATTTCTGAAAGACAGAAGGCAACATCTCATGAGCTTCCCTCTGTGTCGATCTTCGGGACACACTTCCGGCCCGTGGAGGGGTCTCTGGGGTGTCCCCATTATCATCATCTGGCATCCTCCCCAGAGTGGCTCTGGAAACAGAGACCTTGGGAAAGGCCAGCATCCCTGCACCTCAGTTTCCTCATCTGTAAAACAGGGACTGTGACAGTACCTGTGAGATCCAACGAGATAATGCTGGTTCAGTGAGTGCGTAAAATGTTGGGTCTTCCCGCCACCTTCCTACAAATACGATGACTGGGACCTTCTTAAGAAAGCATTGCTGGGCACTTAATAGATGCTTAAAAGTATGAAAGGAAGGGGGCAGCTGGTTAGCTCAGGTGGTTAGAGCACAGTGCTCATCACACTAAGGTTGTCGGTTCGATCCCCACATGGGCCGCTGAGCTGCGCCCTCCACAACTAGATTGAAACAACTACTTGACTTGGAGCTGACGGGTTCTGGAAAAACACACCATTCCCCACCACCACACACACACACACACACACAAAAAAATATATATATACACATATGTTTAAAGTATGAAAGGAAGGAATCAAAAGAAAGGGAGATGAGAAAGCAAAATAATAATTTTATCAAGAGCTACACAAAATGATAAGATCTTTAAAGCTGAATAATCCTAAATGTAGAGATTTATCATAAAGAAATCATTTAGTAGAAGAAGAATATAGTAAGACACCATGGTTCCCAAACTGGGTGCCAAGGTACCCCAGAGTGCCACTGTGAACTTGCAAAAGTTTTGAGGGAAACATAGTGATACTCCCCATCTTTTGAACACTACATAAACTGCGAGTATGAGTGAATTCACAAATTGCACTACATTCGTATCAACACCTGTAGCTTTGCACAGCTATGGTTTTAGCAAGCGGTTGCTGTGATAAAAAGTAACACACAAAAATCACTGTGAAACAGGAAATGAAGGTGGTGTCCGATCCGATTCCAAGGTATGAGAAGCTGCGCAAGGCCCAACAGGCGCACATGTCCCATTAGGAACTGTACTTGTATTTAAGAATGAAATAAAAATATTATTTTCTTTTGACTTATGTGTACTATTTTTTCAAATGGCTAAGTTGTTAGAGCATAAATACTTAAGTGTTCAGACCCAAGTACTTGCTAAGTGGAACTTTTGGCCGAGGGTGCCATGAACTGAGGAAGTTTGAGAACCTCTACATGAAGATAAAATTGCTTTGGGTTCACAATCACACACTCAAACTGAAGATAGCCTAGGTGCTTAATAATAGAGGATGGATGGTTCACTAAGTTTTGGCCAGTCACCTGAGGTATATTCTGTAGTTTTAGAAAGTGATTATATGGAAGACAGTTTTTTAAAATAATAAGTGGAAAAAAAACCCCAGATACAACTGGATTCTGTGTTGGTTAATAACATAAAAATATAGATGACTCTGGAAAAGACTGGAAGGAAAAACATTTTTTTTTAATGAACCCATTAAATGCAATGTGGTCTTCTGGATTGGAACCCAGAGCAGAAAAAGGACATGAGTTAAAAACCTGGTGAAATCAAACAGAGTCTGCACTTTTTTTTTTTTTATTGAGCCATCCTGCCACCTGTTGGCAGCTCAGCGGCTGCTCAGCTCGGGCTGGGGATCGAACCAGCGACCCTGTTGCTCAGAGCTCACACTCTTGAGCGAGCTCTTAACCAACTGAGTCACTCAGCCGGCCCCAGAGTCTGCACTTTAGTGAATAGTAATGTGCCAATGTCAATTTCTTTGTTGTAGCAATATACTAGGTTCAGTAACATATCAATACTAGGAGAAGCTGGGTGAAGGGTATCAGGAACTCTACTATCTTTGCAACTTTCCTGTAAATCTACAATTATTCTAAAATAAAAAGCCTATTAAAAAACAAACTAATAATGTTTCCAGGGTGAGATCGCAAGTGGCTTCTTTTTTCTTCTTTTGCTTTTTTGAAACCCTCCTTTCCTTTAAAAAAAATTTTAAATAGTAATAGTAACAATATCTTCCAGCTCTGGGTCCCCTCATCTCGGCCAGGTATCACGTGATGGGCTTTGTTCATCTCTCATTTAACTCTCCTGACATCTCTGTGCGATGGTGTTATTAGCACCATTTTGGCAGAGCTGGGATCAGCGTCCATACCTGTCTAATTTCAAAGACCACGCCATTTCAGCTGCCTTCCTGTGCCTGCTTTTCCTACGCACATCAACCCTCGGAAGTAGACACTGTTACCCCATTTCATAGGTGAGGAAGTGGATATTCAGAGAGAGGGGAAGTGACTTGTCCGCGGGCACAGCAGGCTATTGGCAGAGCCAGGGTTTGCCCCGAGCCTGATTTCAACACCCATGCTCCTGCTGCCAGGTCCCTGAGAAAAACGCATCCTCGGCATTACACGACGTCAGTTCGCCCCTTTGGAAATGGACACAAGAAGTGGGCAGAACCCCACTCCCTCCCCTTCACGGTGTCAATTTCAGTAAAGCTCCACCCATCCCTGGGGCCCCAGGAAGGGCCCCCCCAGAAGCCAGCACCCCTCAGATGAGACCCTGATCGTGTGGGTACCATTAAAGAATTTGATGATGTCTGTGAAATCCATGTTGTTCTCCAAAATGATGTCACGATAGACCTCCACCAGAGCCAGGGCGATGAACAGGACGTAGTGGGCGGACGAGACGTGCTTGGCTGCCCAGATGGTCTCCCAGACGGAGAAGACATCATCATAGACAAGTTCTGCCGAGACACCGACAAGCACACGCATGGGGAGAGAGTCAGCCACAGAGCTCACGGGGTTGCCCGCCCTCTGGGAAAATCCCAACGGCTGTGCTCTGCACTATGCCCTGGTGCAGTGGACAGAGCTCAGGCCTGGAGGCAGGAGACCTGGACTCTGTCATTTGATCATCACAATCCTGTTATCCCCGTCTATAGAACAGGGTATGCAAACCAGGTGAGTTATAAGGGTCCAGCTCTGACATTCTGCAAGTTCTGAGCATGTGCAGGATTCATTGACACTGACCTGTCCCCGCTCTGCCCCTTGACCAGTGTCTCCCTCTCTCCCTGCACCCTCCACCTCCTTTAGCACCCACAGGAGGTATCTCCCCTTCCCCCTGCACACACAGGCAGAGCTGGCTGCTGTCTTTGGATCTAGTAAAGAGATAGACTAGAGTCATGGTTAAGAGCAAGGCTTTCTATGTCCAATAAACTCAGTCTGAATCCTGGCTCCATCACTTACTAGCAAGGTGACCCTGGGTTGGTTCCTTCCCTCCATAAGCCTCTCTCTTTCCTCATCTCTAAGTGTGGCGATGCCGACAGTAGTAGAAGACTCAAGAGATAATACATCAAAATGGCTCAGCACAATGCCTGGCACTTAATGAACACCTCCTTAGGTGCTAGATATCATTATTCTTAGCATCACCAAGAATTTGCACAATAGCAATGTACTGTGTTATATATGACTTCTACGTCACGCGTGAAGCATGCTCCACGGACTTCAGAGTTTTTGGTCTCTAACAGGCATCTAACAGGGGGGAACTGGCCTTAGGAGGCAGACAGAGCAGGGCTCAGATCCTGGCTTTACTCTTCCTAGCTCTGAATTTAATTCTTCTCAGCCTTAGTTTCCTCATCTGTAAAATGGGGACTGTAACAATACCTACTGCATAGCGTCACTGCAAGATAAAGTAGGTGAACTCAATAAATGGGTGCTATTCTTTTCCACTGGCTTTGCTCCATGCTGTCTTTTCCCCTGAGGTTCTGCTACCAAGAGTCTGGGAACGCGGCCCCACTTTGAAGTCTGTACCTCGCTTGAAATCTAGCAGGAACCAGCGGTAGCAGAAGTAGAAATGAGTGTAGTCCCCATTCTGATGCATCAGCTCAAAGAGCTCTGAGTCCAGGATCTGTCAGAGGAAGGAAAGGTGGACATCAGCCTCATGGGAAAAGGCCGGCCCCGAGGGGACAGCTGAATAAATGATGGTACCTCTTCACACCAGACACCACATAGGCCTTAACAACCAAGTGGAGTTAAAAAATGGGCAAAGGATTTGAAACAGAAATCAACCTAGCTCAACCTAACCCAGTCGTTTCTCCAAAGAAGATAGGCAAATGGCCAATAGGTACATGAGAAATACTCAAATCTTGAGTCATTAGGAAAATACAAATCAAAGCTATAATGAGATACCGCTTCACACCCACTAGGATGGCTATAAAAATGACAGACAACAAGGTGATGGCGAGGATGAAAAGAAATTGGAACCCTCGTATGTGGCTGGTGGGAGTGTAAAATGGTGCGGCTGCAATTCTACCCGTAGATATAAGCCCAAGAGAAATGAAAACATGTCCTCATAAAAACGTATACATGAATGTGCACAGCAGCACTATTCATAAAAGCCCAAAAATGGAAACAACCCAAATGTTCATCAACATGGATAAACAAAATGTGGTACGTCCACACAATGGAATATTATTCGGCCATAAAAAGGAATGACATACTGACACATGCTATACTACATCGCGTGGATGAACAGTGAAAATGTTATACTAAGTGAAAGAAGCCTGACACCAAAGCTGTACATTGTGTGATTCCATTTATAAGAAATGTCCAGAATAGGCAACTCTATAGAGACAGAAAGTAGATTCGTAGTTGTCAGGTGCTGGGGATGAGACAGACGTTACTGGGTATGGAGTTCTTTTGGGGATGATGAAAATGTTCTAAAACTAGATAATGATGATGGTTTCATAACTGTGAATATTATAAAAACTGCTGAAATGTACATTTGAAAAGGGTGAATTTTATGGTATGTAAGTTACATCTCAATAAAGCGTGTGTGTGCGTGCGTGTGTGTGTGTGTGCGTGTGTAATTTACTCAAACACTGCTTTCAGAAAAAGGACTAATACAATCAAACATCCTGTTTCGCTTATTGTTGTGGCCACAGTGCCTGGACCAAGTAAATACTCAGTCCAGTGGACATGATTGTGTTGTTAAGGCTGAGCTGAACTGAGTTTTTAAATTCAATTCAGAGGTTGAGTTGAATTGAGTTTCTGAGTTCAACTCAGTTGGGCTGAGTTGAGTTGAACTGAATTGAATTGAGTAAGATTGAGTTACTGAGTTGAGTTACCTTAGGCTCAGCAATCAGCTGACTAGGGGTCAGCTGGGCTGAGCTGGAAGTAGCTGCATTACTGAATAGGGCCGGATCCTACCTGGATGAGTGACCTCATGTTGGCAAAGTGTGTGTCCATGGCGCCTCCATGAGGGAAGTTCTGGTTCATCCTCTTCATGAGCTCTGTGAAGCAGCTGAAGGCGAGGGCCTCTGGGGACAGAGCACAAGAGAAACAGTCAACTCCGCCACCACCCAAGGAACCAGGGGTCCCCATGTGATGGGCGAAGGCCCTGAGCAGGTCCACCATGTCCACAGACAAACGAAAAACACCTGGACAGTGGTGTGCTGGTGTGTTCTGTGCCAAGGCTTGCTCGTCAACCTTCAATTAATTACCTACTTCCCACCTTACAGGAGGTGAAACACCCTTTCTTTTAGGAAAGGGTGGTGACAGAAGATCCTGCTTTATTTTATTATTTTAGCTGAGCCATCCTGCCACCTGTTGGCAGCTCAGCGGCAGCTCAGCTCAGGCCAAGACTCGAACCGCTGTTGCTCAGAGCTCGCACTCTTGAGTGAGCTCTTAACCAACTGAGCCACTCAGCTGGCCCACCAAATCCTGTTTTAAAGATCCTGATTTGCTATAGTAAAAAGCTGACAATGTGTTGTTGGTCCCAAACTTTTTTTTCTTTTTTTGAAATTCTATGGGGTTCATGAAATTCTCAAGTCTGGGAGCCAATGCAGTAAAACAGCAAACATTAACATTAGAAGGGTATTTACAGGCATTATGCAAAAAATGGTCAAATAACTTTGTGAAATGCTGCTTAGAGAGTCACCACAAATATTAAGAAAGGAAAGCCTCTGAGAAGTCCTGCAATAAAGAAATCTGTTTCATATTGCTTAACCCAGTGTTTAAAAAAATGAAAACAGTGCATTTTTTTTTCTTTTCACACCTAATAATGTTGGAGAAAATTCTGAGGCTTTCCAAGGCATAGTAGTATCTCATTTATTTTTTTAAAAGATTTTATTTTTATTTATTTTTTTAAAGATTTTATTGGGGAATTGGGGGAGGGGAACAGCATTGAGGAATCGGGGAAGGGGACTAGACAAGTTGCTATCCTTTTGTTCTTCAGTCTAGTTGTGGAGGATGTCGCTTCACTGGCCCATGTTGGTATTATCATTGTGCTCTTCCCAGCTGAGGCACTTGCTCGCCAGCCAATGGATGGCCACTCACGGCATTGCACGGCAGCTCACGCCGGCTGCCAGACTCACGGTAGCTCACGGCAGCCCACTACAGCTTCACTGCAGCCTACGTGGTCACCGGTGACTCATGGAAGCCCAGCTCCAGGTCAAGCTGTTGTTCACCATCTTAGCTGTAGAGGGCGCAGCATCACTGGCCCTAATGTGGGATCTGAACCAGGGCCCTGCTGCTCAAAGCTAGCGTCCCAAGCCAACTCTTAACCAACGCTCCACTCGGCCGGCCCTAAAGACTTTATTTTTAAGAAACGTTTATCGATTTACAGAAAAATTAAGAGTAGAGTTTCCATATACGCCATACCCAGTTTCCCAAATTATTAACATATTACAAAAATATGGCACATTGGGTTACAGCCCATAGTTTTAACGTAATGAGCCCTTTCTCTGTTCCAAGAACCCATCCAAGGTAACACATTACATAGAGCTGTCATGTTTCCTTAGGTTCCACCTGGCGATGAGGGTTTCTCAGGCTTTCCTTGTGTTTGATGACCTTGACAGTTTTGAAGAGTGCTTGTCAGGTAGTCTATAGAAAGTTTCTCTACTGAAATTTGCCTGATGTTTTTCTTATGATGAGACTGGAATTATGGGTTACTGGGAGAAAGACATCACATAGGTCACGTGCCATTCTAATCACAACACATCAAGGGTATATACTGTCAACATGATTTATGGTTGCTGAGGCTGGTTTTGGTCACTGGCCCAAGGCAGTGCTTGTCAGGTTTTTCCACTGTACAGTTTCTCTCCCACTCCCCCGCCTTCTATACTGAACTCTTTGGAAGGAAGTCACTATGCGCAGCCCGTGTCTGAAGAATAGGGAGTTCTGCTCCCCATTTTTTTTTAACAATTTGATTGAGATTCACATACCATAAAAGTCCTATTTCAAATGCAAAATTCAGTGGTTTTAGTGTACTCACAGAGTTGTGCAACCATCATCACTTTCTAATTTGAGAACGTTTTCATCACCCCCAAAAGACAGCCCATAGGGCTGGCCGAGTGGCGCGTTGGTTAAGAGCTGGCTTGGGACGCCAGCTCTGAGCAGCAGGGCCCCAGTTCGGATCCCACATGAGGGCCAGTGACACTGCGCCCTCTACAGCTAAGATGGTGAACAACAGCTCGACCTGGAGCTGGGCTGCCATGAGTCTCCAGCAACGGCGTAGGCTGCAGCCCCTGCTGCAGTGGGCTGCCATGGGCTACCGTGTGTGGCTGGCAGCCAGCGTGAGCGGCCAGCAGCTGGTGTGAGCTGCCAAGAGCCGCCGTGAACGGCCGTCCAGAGGCCGGCGACTGATCTGCCTCACCCGGGAAGAGCGCAATGATAATACCAACATGGGCCAGTGAAGCAATGTCCTCCACAACTAGACTGAAGAACAAAAGGACAACAACTTGTCTGTTCCCCTTCCCCGATTCTCCAACACTGTTCCCCTCCCCCAATTCCCCAATAAAATCTTTAAAAAAAAAGTCCATATATATTGACAGTCATTCCCCATATCTCTCCCCCCAGTACATGTCAACCACTGTCTCTACAAATCCCTATTCTGGACATTTCATATAAATGAAATCATATGAAGTGTGATCAAAAGCTACGATGAATGTTTAAATTAAGAAAATGTATTACAGGGGCCGGCCGAGTGGCTCATTGGTTAAGAGTTGGCTTGGGAGCGTGAGCTCTGAGCAGTAGGGCCGCTGGTTCGGATCCCACATAGGCCAGTGACGCTGTGCCCTCTATAGCTAAGATGGTGAACAACAGCTCGACCTGGAGCTGGGCTGCCGTGAGTCACCGGGGATGGTATAGCCTGCAGTAGGGCTGCAGTGGGCTGCCGTGAGCGGCCGTCCAATGGCCGGCAACCAACTGCCTCAGCTGGGAAGAGCGCAATGATAATACCAACATGGGCCAGTGAAGTGACATCCTGCACAACTAGACTGAAGCACAAAAAACCAGCTACTTGTCTGTTCCCTTTCCCTGATTCCCCAATGCTGTTTTCCTCCAATTCCCCCATAAAATCTTAAAAAAAAATAAAATGTATTACCGTAAAAGACACATTGCCATTAATCACCCTCAAAATACTCCCCCTCCTTTGAACACACTTATCCCATCGTTCTTGCCACTTTCTGAAGCAGTTCTGAAAGTCCTCTTTCATGAGTGTCTTTAGTTGTGCTGTCATGACTGCCTCGATGTCCCGAATTGATTCAAAACATTTACCTTTCAAGGTCATTTTGACTTAGGGGAAGAGCCAGAAGTCACACGATACCAGATCCGGTGAATAAGGTGGATAAAGACTCCATAAGGATTTTATTTGACAGAAATTGCTGTACCAGAAGCGATGTGTGACATGGAGCATGGTCATGATGGAGGATGAAACCGTTTGCCCAATTCATATTAATGAGTTGTCTGTGATCCATGATTTAAGGCACACTTCTCTCAACTGTAGCTCACATCCGACTGACTGCACCGAACAAGTTGAAATTTGGCACACACTGTTACTAAGGTTTCATGCACCGATTCCCATATTGAAGATCCCTGCCTTTTCGTTGGATGGCACTCAGCAGCAGCATTCACCATATTTTGTGATCATACCTCGTACAATATGTGGTCTTTTGTGACTGGCTTCTTTCACCTAGCATAGTGTTTTCAAGGTTCATTCACAATGTAGCATGTATCAGATCATTCTTCTTTTGTCAAATAATACTCCATTTTATGGCTATACCACAATTTGTTCATCCATTCATCTGTTGATCAACATTTGAGTTGTTTCCACTTTTGGGCTAGTAAGAATAAGGTTGCTGTGCACATTGATGTACAAATATTTGTATGAACATGTTTTCGTTTCTCTTAGGGATATATCTATGAATGGGATTCCTGGGCCATAGAGTAACTCTATGTTTAACATCATAAGAAACTGCCTAACTGTTTTCCAAAGCGGCTGAACTATTTTACAAACCCACTAGCAAAGCAGGAGGGCTCCAATTTCTCCACATCCTTGCTACCACTTGTTATTTTCCACTGTTTTTTTTCTAGCCATCTGAGTGGATCTGAAGTGGATCTCACTGTGGTTTTGATTTGTATTTCCTTCATGAGTAAAGGTTTTGAGGATCTTTTAATGCGCTTATTGTTCACTTGTACATCTTCTGTTCTATTGAGAAATAGACATTTCAAATCCTTTGCCCTTTTTTAATTGGGTTATTGATCTTTTTATTGTTGAGTTGTAAGAGTTCTTTATATGTTTTTGGATACAAGTCCCTTATTAATATGTGATTTGAAATATTTTCTTCCATTCTCTGGGTTCTCTTCATGTTTTTGATGGTATCCTTTGAAGCACAAAAGTTTTTAATTTTGATGAAGTCCAATTTATCTATTTTTTTATTTTGTTGCTTTATGCTTTTGGTGTCATATCTAAGAAATCCAAGTTTTCATAAAGATTTATGCCTGTTTTCTTCTGATAATTTTATAGTTTTACCTCTTATATTTAAGTTTATGATACATTTTGAGTTAGTAGTTTTGTATGTAGTGTACGGTAGGAGTCCAACTTCAATCTTCTGCTTGTGGATATGCGGTTGTTTCATCATCATATATTGAAAAGACTATTGTTTCCTCACTGAGTTGAAATGTCTTGGCATATAGCCAAAAATCAATTGAACATAAATGTAAAGGCTTATTTCTGGATTCTCTATTCTATTCCATTGATCTGTCTATCCTATGGAAGTACAACAACTGTTTTGATGACTGTAGCTTTGTTGTGGGTTTTGGAATTGGAAAGTGTGTGTCCTCTAATCTTTTCTTCTTTTTCAAAACGGATGTTGCTATTTTTGGTTCCTTTAATTCCCATATGAATTTTAGGGTCAGCTTGTCAATTTTTGCCAAAAAAGGCAGCTTGGGTTTTGACCTATCATGAAATTGCATGAAATCAAATCAATTTGGAGAGCACTGCCATCTTCACAATACTAGGTCTTCCGGTCCATGAACATGAGATCTTTCCATTTATTTAATTTCTTTCAACAATGTTTCATAGTTTTTGGAGTGTAAATCTTGCACTTCTTAAGTTAAATTTTTTCATAAGTATTTTCTTCTTTTAGATGCTATTGCAAATGGAATTGCTTTCCTAATTTCATTTTTGGATTATTAATTGCAGTTGTATAGAAATACAATGGACTTTTGTACATAGATTTGGTATCCTGCAACTTTGCTGAACTCATTTATATGTTCTAATATATATTTTTTATTCCTTAGGATTTTCTATATGCAACATTGCATCATCTGCAAATAGAGATGCTTTTAATTCCTTTCCAGTCTCATGCCTTTTATTTCCTTTTCTTCCCCAATTGTCTTGGCTTGAACCTTTTGTGACAAAAGTGGACATCCTTGTCTTAGTCCTGATCTTACGGGGAAGGCATCAGTCTGCTATAACACCACTATGAACTAGCTGTAGGTTTTTCATAGGTGCCTTTTAACACATCGAGAAAGTTTCCTTTTATTTCTAGTTTGAGTGTTTTTATCATGAAAGGGTGTTGGATTTTGTCACATGCCATGTCTTTGACAATTGAGATGATCATGTGGTGTTTGTCCTGTATTCTATTAATGTGGTGAATTACATTAATTGATCTTCCTGTGTTGAACCAGCCTTGCATTCCTGGGGTAAATCTCATTTAGTCATGGTATATAATGTTTTTTGTATCTTGCTGGATTCAGTTTGTCAGTATTTTGTTAAGGATTTTGCCTTTATAGTCACAAAGGATATTGGTCTATAGTGTCCTTTTTTTGGTGATGTCTTTGTCTGGTATTGGTATCATGGTACCAAAGGGTCCTCATGTAAGAACTGGCCTCATAGCGTGAGTTCAGAAGTGTTCTCTCCTATTCCATTTTTTGGAAGACTTTGGGAAGAACGGTATTCATTCTTCTTTACGTGTTTGGTAGCATTCACCAGTGAAGCCATCTGGGCCTGGGTTTTTCTTTGTTCTCATTCATGTTGGTACAATCAGTGGCTAGCAAAGGTCTGGCTGGGTGTTGGGCACCTGGCAATCAGTGTTGGCTAACACAGAACAATAGGACTTTCTGCTTCACTGGGGCTTTGATGTGTTCACCAGACAGGTGTTCTGAGCACCTGTACTAACCCATTTCATTCCATAGAGTCACAAAGTTAAGCCCCGTCCTCTGCAGTGGGAAGGACACTGCACCCCTAGCCCTGGGGCGGGGAGAACATACTCACCATCATCCAGAATGACCAGCAGTGGAGCCAGGAGGTCACACATGCCTTGGACGTAGCCAATCTCAATGTGCTGCCAGATGTAGCTAGGAGAGAGACATAGGGGCTCCGTGATGACACCCGCAGCCTGTCTGTCCAACCCACTCTCCCTTCCCCGCTTCCCTGGCTCAGCCTCCCCCACCCCCCGGCACCTGGACCACTCCCTCAGCGTCCTGCCTGCATCCCCAGCCCCAGTCTCTCTCTCCAAACATCTTATGCTCAGCCGCCAGAATGACCTTCCTCAAGTCCAGCTCAAGGAGACCACTACTTGCTCAAAAACCTTTACAGGCTCCCACTGTGTGATAGGATAATATCCCAACTCCTTAACTGAGCATACAAGGCATTCAGGGTTTTCTCCCAATCCATCTTTACCGTCTCACCCATCCCTTCCCAGTACTTCCTCCTGTCCAGCCACATGTGTACAAATAAAGCACACTGTTTCGTCCTAGAGGTTCCTTCTGTCTGGAATTCCCATCTGCCTCTTAATAATAACAGCTATTAATCATATTTACTGAACGCTTACTGTTTACTCAGTCCACTATTCATGTATTGCCTCATTTAATTTTCAAAATAATCATATAAAAAGAAAACTATTATTATCCCATTTCACACATGAGCAGACTGAGGCACAGAGAGATAAGTGACATGCAGAAAGTCATACACCTAATAATAAATGATAGAGGCAGGATTTGAACCCAGGTGACTTCACCCCAGGGTACGTGCTCCTAACCTGTATGTCAAATGGTTTTTTCAGCTTCTCCTAATTTTGCCAAAGTCCATTTTGAATGTCACCATCTCTCTGAAGCCCTCCACAGTTTTTCCCAATGCCACAACCAGGCAAAAGTCAGTCTATCTTTCTTTCTCCCCAGGCACTTTTTCATTTTAATGTAACATACTACATTAAAGTTAATTACATTTGTCGCTCCTAGACTAAATTTTGAGAGGCAATGTTTGCTTGGAAGACTGTAAAACAGAATAGTTATGAGGTAGTGCTTATTAATGAGTTAGAGCTGGGGTTGGTAAATCTTTTCTAAGAGGTTCAGGTAATAATTATTTTTAGCTTTGTAAGCCATATCTTCTCTGTCTCAACGACTCACCTCCGCAGAAGCAATCATAGAGAATATGCAAACAAATGGGCATGGCTGGGCTCTAATAAAACTTTATTTACAAAAACAAGTGATGGGCTGAAATTGGCCCATGGGCCATGATAGTAGTTTGCAAACACAAGTTAATTAGAGCAGCATAGAAAGAAGTCCAGAATGTGTTACTGAGTATAAAAAGCAAGTTGTAGAAAAACTTCGTAGTATAATCCCATGTAGGTAAAATTTTTTTAGAACTTTGTAACATGTATGCTATTAGAGTACATATTATATACTATCTATTCTATATTATATCTATAGCTTTGGAAGAATATTCACAAATATATCAGCAACAGGTACTCTTTCTGGATGAGTGGTACGATGACTGGATATGGAAGGAGTTTTTGTTTATACCTTAAAAACTTCTAATTTCCTTGACTGATTTAAGTTTTTGACAAGCATGGGTCACTTCCATATTTTAAGAAATAAAAATAATAACTTCTAATAACAAGTAGTAAGTTGCCCAGATCTTGGCTTAATAAAATAAAAGAGATTCCAGAGCCTGAGAGACGTGGGGATAAGTCCCCCCTCAGCCACTGCCCAGCTGGGGGCCTCGGAGCAGCGTGGTACCCCTCTGCGCCTCTCCTGCCTCGCCTATAAAAGGAGATAGCACTTATCTCATAGGCCTGTGGTGAGGACTAGGTGAGAGTGTGTTAGTAAAAGGGTCAGGAGAGAGCCTGGCACACAGTAGGCGCTTAATAAATGCCCTCTCTTATTAGCATTGCTATGATTGCTATTATTATTGTCAGTGTGGGCTGGGATAAGATCCCAGCTGCCGAGGCTGTGGGTCCAGCTGGGCTCCCCGCAGCCCACACCTCTGCCATCCCAGCCCGATCCCCTGGTCCCCGCAGGCCCATCTCCTTCCCCCTGCCGCTCCAGCCACCTGCACATGATGTTGCGCAGCTTCTCCAGGTTGGCGGGCGTGAAGTACCAGAAGTTGCGGTCGCACCTCTGCACGTCCTTCTCGATGCGGTGCAGGTTCACTGTGTACAGGTCCAGCAGCTCCGGCTGCCGGCCGCCAGGGGGCGGAGAAAAGAACAGTTACACCTCGGCTGCTCACGGAGGCTGTCACACGTTCCCCCGCCTCCTCCTAACCCTCCTGTCACCACCAAAAAGAACATCCTCTACCTGGACCTGCCGGGGGTTTGATTTGTTTTTTGTTGTTTTCTGAGAAAGCTACTTTCTCTTATATGATGAAAATTCTTTTCAATCCTGATGAAATAGTTCAATGAAACAGCAAGAAAATAAATAACACTTAAAAGCCAAAAGTTAACCTGGAAAGGCAAGATAATACCAAAGCTGACTTCTGTCTTGAGGGATGATACCAAATTGGGAAAAATTTAAGCTTAGATTTAATGATGTTGTGGCCTCTCAGCCCCAAGGTTAAGGACACTAAGATATGTTCCCTCATGAAGGCAGGACCCCAAAAAGCCATACCCCTAGTAAGGGAAAACTGGAAAAAACTACTAACATCCTATGATCTCAAGGACAACTGCCTGTCTTGAACACAGGTGTCAAATTAAGTGTAAAATACATATTCCCGGATAATTAACAGCCTCAAATCAGGTTTATAACTTATACACGTTGATAACCTAAATTCCCACTACTTGGGCGGTCTGAAACAGCAGAGTCTAATTTCAAGTGACCTCACGTTGGTTATGCCCCTGGGCACTAGAAAGAAACGAATGAAAATTCTCTCTTAAGGAACCTACCTTCCACCTAGGCCTCAAATAATGCAACAAATAAAATTCCAAGAAATATGAACTCGTGTTAAAAAAAAAGTCACAAAACACACAGAGGAGGAAGGCACCAGGAGTGACAGTCAGCGTAAACTCCAGACAGCAGAGCCAGGTCCCCGAGGACTTCCGGTGTTAGAATGACCAGAAGCAGAATATAAAGGAAGTTTATTTACTATTTTTAAAGAGATAAAAGAAGAAATTACTAATATGAGAACAAGAGACTATAAAATAACCAAGCAGATCACTTTATAGCAGATTTGAAGAAAAGCCAAGTAAAACTTCATGAAACGTATTAAAAACTTGCTAGAGACATGTGACAGAAAATTAGACACCACTGAAGAGAAAAATCAATGGACGGAAAAGAGACCTACAGAAACTATCCAGGATTCAGCACAAAGGGACGAAAAGATATCAAAGTGAAAAAGAAGTATTATTCATAGAGGACAGTGTGAGAAGATCTAACAAACATTTAATCAGCGCTACAGAAGAAGAGAAAAGTTGGGAAGTCAACAATTGTATGAATAATAGATGAAAAAGTTGCAGAACTGACTAAAGACACCAATCTGCAGATATATGAAGCCCAACAAACCACTAGCCTGTAAACAGAAAAAGATATCTACATGTAGACACATGACACACAATACCAAAAGGAGAATCTTAAAAGCAGCTAGAGAGAAAAGCAGATTATATTTAAAGTACAGAAAGGTCCCCTGCTTCTTTTATTAAATAAGCTCAAGCCATGCATTATAAAATGGCCTCTATCTGCCCCCGCTCAGCTGTTCTTGGAAATCATGTGCATGCGAATAATAGGATGTGGAATTATAGCCCTAGTGTCTCCACTTCTGTAATTGCACCTTGCCTCAGTTTACCCTGCACCAATAGGAGCCCAGAAAAACCCAAGAGTTCCTCTAAAGGCCCCATAGTTCCACTTCCCTTATAGGTAATCTCTGCCCAGCAACAGTAACAGGATAGATCTAGCTAATGCTTAAAACAGTCTATACTAATAATTAAAGGTTGTACTAATAATTTATAAGGTTAGATATTCATATAATCCTGCTATCTTAGCTTCTGTAATAATGCTTTACTAGGACTGAACACTTATCCTAACAAGAGACCCCAACCCAATAGTAGAGGGGGCTAAGATCTGAGAGACATATTCCACCTACAGTTTCAACATTACTGGGGATCTTTCCACCCGGACATGTCTCCCATGCTTGGAACTTCCTCATTTAGATCTGTTGTTAGTTTCTGTATAACTCTTTGGAATTACCCTGCCTCAATGTAACCCCTGTGGTTTTTGCCTTTATAAACTCTACCCAACTTCCCTTCGGGGCTGCGAGGTCTTTAGAGGCATTAGCCCCCTCATAGTTGCTGGCTCTACAATAAAGACTCCCTCAATTGGCTTAACTGGTTTCTTTGTCTGCCTGACTCACAGCTTTGCTTTACAACAACAGCTCAACCTGGAGCTGGGCTGCTGTGAGTTGCCGGCGACAGCGTAGGCTGCAGCCCCTGCGGCAGTGGGCTGCCGTGAGCTACTGTGAGTGGCCGGCAGCAAGCGTGAGCGGCCAGCAGCTGGTGTGAGCTGCCAAGAGCCGCCGTGAGCGGCCATCCAGAGGCTGGCGACCAATATGCCTCACCCGGGAAGAGCGCAATGATAATGCCAACATGGGCCAGTGAAATGACAGTCCTCCACAACTAGACTGAGGAACAAAAGGACAGCAACTTGTCTGTTCCCCTTCCCCCAATTCCCCAGCGCTGTTCCCATCCCCCAATTCCCCAGTAAAATCTTAAAAAAAAAAAAGTCAATGGAAGAATATCTTCAAAGTACTGTGAGAAAGTAACTGAAATCTATAGCTGCATATTCAGTGAAAATATCTTTCAAGAATGAGGGCAAAATGAAGGCCTTTCAAGACAAACTAAGAGAGACCTTGCCCAAGGGAATTCTAAAGAACGTATTTTGTACAAAAAGAGTTATCTCAGACTAGAGGCCTGATATGTAAGAAGGAACGAAAAATTTTAAAATGTGGAAGCTATTGAAGTCCATGTTCCATGTAAACAAGGGAGTAAACTAAGAAAAAGACAGTGGATACAGGAAATATGAGAGAAGCAAAATTAACCTGGAAATGATGATGGAGAAGGATCTAGAATGACAGCTATCCACCAGGTACCGGGGACTGGGGAAGGCCAGAGGCTCTTAGAATTCTTCAGTCATATGAAACAACTAGAAAGCCTGATCTGTCTGAATGTTTTTCAGAAGCAAGTTAGAAAACTGACAAAGGGTTTGTGGGGGGGTGAATTAACAACAACTAAGAAAAAGAAAGTAGAGACTAGAAAATAAAAACATTTAAGAAAATCACAATTTCTTGCTGGAGTGAAAAAATAAATACAGCTGACTAAATGGTATATACATTGCATTATTATAATAACATAAACAATTATTATAATAACATAAACAACCAAATAGTCATTTAACTAATATAATATAATAAATATAATATTTTAACTATATTGGATGAATGGGGATGAGAAGGTTTCTTGCATGTGCAGAGGACGTGGGGGGATGGGGAAGAAAAAGGACTAAATCCTCTTCTTCTATAGTGGAGTCAACAGACAATGCCTAAAACTGAAGAAAATCTAAAAAAAGATCAAGAAGTAGCAATACAAGCACATTATTTACAGAGATGGGGTAAATACCAGATAATCTGGGCAGAGTAAGTAACCACTATTGCCTCAGAGGAGGGCTAACTGGGGGCGGGTGGGGCAGATAACTCTTTTTTTTTTTTTTTGTATCCAACCTTGTCTGAGTGTTGGACTCTTTCAACTACAGGCATGTATATCTTTGACAGAAATAAGTTCTTTAAAAGAAAATGGACACACAGTGCCCGGCTCTGAAGACCTCCCTTTCCGTTGATGTCCTCTGGCATGGATTTTCTGGCAAGAAAGCAAACGCAAATATTTAAATGATACTGGACCTGAGTGTATATCAAGATGCTCGCCATCAAGGCTGCTGCTCCTGGAGCGCTGATGATGTGCTAGCCACAGAGGACTCAACTCACTCATTCTGAAAACAACTCAGGAAGGAAGGTACCAGATAGACAAGGAAACGGAGGCTCGGAAAAACAAAGTGAGGCATCTGCGCTGGAATGTGAAGCTGGAACTATTTGACTGCAACATCTGTGTATTATATGATCTCGTCCCCCAAATGGGTTTCCACAGTGAGCCCTTTGTGTGGTGGGGAAAATGCAATGAACCCCAGGTCGTTCTGGATCACTGAGGTTTGTGGGACACTTCCTTCCTCCCGCGGCTGTAGAAAATGGAGTGGAGGAGAATGCTAGGGACTTACAGAGTAGGTGACACCGCTGGAAGACACAGGAGATGCCTCGTTGTTGGCGGAAGTGCTCACGACCAGAGACGCCAAGGCAGGGAAGAGACTTTCCATCTCAGGCTCCTCTGAGAGGTTGTCCTCACTGTCCGCCTGGCTATGCTTCTCCGCCTCGCCGCCCACCCAGCTCTCCATCACAGTGCCCTCCTTTTCAGGAAGAGCCATGTCCATGCTGCCAGGGACGGACATGAACTCGTCCATGCTCTCATTGACGAGGAGGTCGCTCTCCAGGCTGTCCTGCACGGCCAGCTCCTCACGGGGAGCTTCGTCCCGGGAAGTGGTGGCCTCGCTGCTCTGCCCGTCATCCACGCTGCTGTCCCCAGGTCGAGGCACCAGGGCAGCGTTCCGCTGGGCATCCATGACACTGTCTTCTGTACTCAGGCTGGGCTCCGAGTGCTCCGAGAGGCCGGAGGAGAAGTTGTGGGAGGAAGGGTGGCCAGAGTCCGGGGAACAGGTGCCATTCACCAGGTTCCCATTGGGGATCTTGGGCTGTTTCTCCTCCAACCTGCCTTCTGCCTCCACCTGCTCCACCTCGTCCACAGATTCGAACACCTGAAGATAAGGTGCACAAAGACTGATGGACTCGGATGGACAATGGTGCTCTTCCAGGAGCAACCGAAATATTCATCAACAGGGGATTGATTCAAATAGGGAACATACACACAGTGGAATACTATACAGTCAGTAAAAAGAGTGAGGCAGAGCCAGGTGTCATACATGCTCCCATTTGGGAAGAACAAAAGCGACCTACATGCATGGAAATGCATGGAATAATCCAGAAAGAAACATGGAAGCATCCCTCTCTGGAGGGATGACTACGGAATTAAAATTGGGGGGAAATACCTATCATCATAAAATCTTATGTGCATGTAATTTTTTAAAGTAAAATATTAGTTAACAACATAAGGAACAGGTTGAACAAAGCATATTATATTCACATGGTTGATGATGATGGGTCAATTTTCTAAAGTAGTTAGGTATACAGTTGACTCTTGAACAATGCAGCAGTTGGGGGGCGCCAACTACCCATGCAGTAAAAAATCCAAGCATAACTTCTGACTCCCCAAAAACTTAACTACGAGTAGCCTGCTGCTAACTGGAAGCCTTCCTGATAACATAAATAGTTGATTAAGATATTTTGTATGTTAGCTGCATTATATACTGTATTCTTACAATAAAGTAAGCTAAAGAAAATGTTAAGAAAACTGCAAGGAAGAGAAAATACATTTACAGTATTGTACATATTTATTGAAAAAAATCCACGTGTAAGTGGACCAGTGCAGTTCAAACCCGTTATTCAAAAGTCAACGATACATCAAATACTATGGGAAAAATCTTCAGAATACATCTCAAAGATTATTTGTAGCTCTTTCTGTCCTTAGGCTATATCCCATCAAGGACAGACTGTATAAAACAGTGTAAGTTCGGGGTGGCCAGGTGGCTCAGTTGGTGAGAGTGTGTGCCCTTAACAACAAGGTTGCCGGTTCGATTCCCGCATGGGATGGTGGGCTGTGCCCCCCCCCACCCCCGCAACTATATTGAAAACAGCAACTGGACTTAGAGCTGAGCTGCGCCCTCCACAACTAACAGATTGAAGGACAACAACTTGAGTTGAAGCTGATGGGTCCTGGAAAAAACACACTGCTCCCTGAAAAAACACATTGTTCTCCAATAAAGTTTAAAAAACAAAACAAAACAAAACAAAAACAGTATAAGCTCATGACTCTTGAAAGCTTCTTCTCTGTGTGGTGATGTTAACCAACTTGATTTTCGGTTAGTTTCAAGTGTTTTTGCTTTTTAAATTTCTTTTGAATTAAATTGCTTTAAATTATGTAAAACAGTTTACCTAACTCCAAAGTCAAAACTAGGAAAGTAGGTATATTAAGGGAAATGTAGCTTCCTTCCCTGGCCCCACCTTCCAGTTATCATTTTGATTAGTTTCTGGTTTACCCTTCCAGAAACTTTTTGAAAAAAGGTGCAAATACACGCATATATTAAGATTTCTGTTTTTTACACAAAACATGACATAGTATGCACATTTTTTGCACTTTACTTTTTTTCTTTACTATTGACTAAGATTGAATTAACATCCCTTCTCACTGAATGAAATGTAAAGTTGTTGAACAATACATATAATGGCATTTACGTAGAAATTTTAAGATTACCAAACATTGCAAAATATTGTCTACATATTTCTGCGTGAGTGAAGGGGCACGGGAGGGTGTGGAAGACACACAGCAAACTGATTATAGCAGTGTTATGTCTAAGGAGGGCAAGTGGGGATTAAAAACAGTCAAAGCCAAATTGAGCTTTCTCTGCAATATTTGGATTTTTTTTACAGGGAAAATAAATTCATCTGCAGTATTACTCATGTAACTAAACACTCAACTTTTAAAGCTACTATAAACAACTGAAACAAAGAAACCATAGGTGACACGATAAGTGTCCAATCCCATTACTCCAGGTTGGGTGGAGGGGAGAGATGGGGAGGGGCGGGGCCTCCGGGAGGGGCATCACCTGTGTGCTGCTGCTGGAGTCGCTTTGCAGACGGATGTTCTGGCGGCCAGAACTGCAGCTCTGCGAGGACTGGGAGGAAAAGAGGCAGAGGGAGCAGGGGTGAGGCTGCATCATTCCGGCTCAGGGTCCCTGCACTGAGCTCAGGAGGGGCTGCTGGGCTGGGAGTCAGGAATTCTAGTTTTATCCTAATTCCTGACTTGAGGAAAACTCCTGTCAGGGCCTCAGCTTCCTCTATGTAAAATGAAAGGGGGTGTCGTCTCACTCCCTGCTCCCCGGAGCCTCCTCAGGGGCCACCCCAGCCTCTGGGCCTCCACCTCCCACCCCTGCAATCGGATGACCCCACCTTTCACTGCCCTGTATTTGAGGCTTCTGGCTAATTGTTTAGTTCAACTCAGGGAACTAGGTATATAAATGGCCCGATTTTTTACTTCCCTCTCTGTATACACGCTTTTTAACTTCTAGCTTCGGCCAATTCTGATGCGCAGCCACGTGACCTGCTTCAGCCAATGGAATGTTAGCAAAATCTCCAGGGCAGAGGCTTAAAAAGTGCTTGTGTGTATCTCTCTTTATGATCTGCATTCACTATGATAACATACCCAGGTTAGCCTGCTGGAGGGTGAGCACAGAGTCCCCCCCAGGCACGTGAGAGAGCTCGGTGAAGGTCAACAAAGCTTTTAGTTGACCAGTTACTGACAGAAGGTGTAAGAGTGAGCCCACCCAAGTCCTGCTCAGAGAACTGTCCTGCTGACCCACAGGCTGATAAGTAAAAATAAATGTGTACTGTTGGAAGTCACTGACTTCAGGGGCTTGTTCGCTATGCAGTATTAGTGTGGAAATTGATGGCTGATGCATCACTAGTGGAGAGAATTCACTTTCTTTTCAGCTCCTGCTTTGGGCTGCTAAATTGGAGATTCTGCGAGGACAGATATGTCTGACTTGGTCATTTCAGCACTCTTGACAATCCAGAATATTCCTGATAAGTACCTGGCTCATGACAGGTACTCAATAAGGATTTGTTGATATATGGAAGTCCAGCACTGTGCTAGGTGCTTTACACACACTATGTTGTTTGGGATACACACAAACCTGTCCTAGAAATGATTATTCCCATTTTATAGATGAAAAGGCTGAGGCCCAGAAGTAAGGGTGTTTGCCGGAGGCCCCAGAGCTAGAAAATGGTGGGGCTGGAGCTCAAACTCAGGTCTGTCAGACTTCAAAGTCAGCTTCTACCCAAAACTAGGGGTGAGACTCTGTCCCAAGACCCCAGACACCTACCCCTCATTCCTACAACAGCCGGATGGAGCAGATCCTGGCCCTCCCCACCCCCACCCCCGGCTCCCTGAGGTGAGCCATCCATCACCTCATTGCTGATGGTGGAGTCCCGGTGCATCATCTGGTGCAGGTGGCTGTCCAGGCTGGCCCCTGAGGAGCACTTGGCCAGGGCAGCCGCGTGAGACTCCCGTTCCCTTTGCCGCACAATTGCCTCGCAGCCCAGCCATTCGGCCATGGTCTGTGCGTAGCAGGCATGAATCTGCTCGTCCACCTGCCAGGGCAGATACAGAGTCACTCGAAGTGCTGGGACCCCCAGGGAGAGCCAGCCCCACCAGGAAGATGGTGGCTCTGACTTGGAACCCTGAGCCCTGGAAACACTCACCCAACATTCATGGAGTAACATCTAACAGACATTAGCTGAGCACCTACTATGTGCCAGGTACTGGATAGACCCTGAGGATACAACAATGAGCAAGACTACTTTTTTTCGATCCTTACTTTCTTTCTTTCCTTCC